GAAATTGAATGCAGTCACCCACTAACTTGATGGATGGATAAATTAAACTTCGAAGAAAAGTTAAGAAGAAGCTCCGNCGGAGCTTCTTCTTAACTTTTCTTCGAAGTTTAATTTATCCATCCATCAAGTTAGAGGGTGACTGCATTCAATTTCAATTTCATTCCAATTCATTTTTCACCGGTAGTTTCAACCGCTCTTATCTATGGAATTTTAGGGTACTTCCAAAAAGGCCGGACAGTCAAATAATTCTAGGAATAGTGGTGGCTCCAATTAAGATCATAAGGTTATCAGCTTATTTAATAGCCGCTCTGACGGTTGGTACCTTGTCCTGTCTATTATTGACCAAAAGAGTATGGCAAAAAACAACAGCAACAGGGAAGGCAAACAAAAAAACCCATTGAGCAGAAACGCGCATGGTGTGAATGTAGGTGAAGCGCTTGCAGAAACATACCGAAAGAATCGCCTAGTCGAGGCTATTTGTCCTAAATCCCTCAATAGGATGAAACGCTTGGCATATAGGCATCAAAAAAATTCACCATGGCACGGCACTTCTGGCCACAAAAACTGGTTTATCTCTTTTTCCAAGTTTATTTTAGCTAGACGAATGTGGTGTGGTGCTGTTCGTAACTCGTTTGGACGAGTTATTTTCTCCACAGTGAGCAACGGATGAAAAGCTCGGATGACTTGACCATATATAATCTCCATTTTACCTCAGAAATCAAGCGAGTGGTAGTTGAACCTTTGGCACAACCCAATGTCGAGTTCTGTGCCTTCTCATACAACCAAATATGTTATCTTAAGAACCTGTTCTAGTTTGCGTTGGAACCATCATTCTTGAGATAGGCAACACTCAACATGATAAAAAGCGAAGTGAATGATGAATTGCATTTAACGACCGTGGATGGAGGCCAGGAACTGGAGTGCATTGAGGAACCCACCTTCTTTAGCAAAGTTTCAGGATAATCACTAGTTAACTATGTCTGAGCGGTTCTCTATTGCCCATTTGAAAGCGTTGTTCGTGGCCAACAGTGTCTAATGCCTTCTCATTTCGCTTTTGTTGCCCTTCTTCCCCAGTAGAGGAGTAGTGCAATGAACAATGAAGAAATGTAGGCTACACTAACTACTTTTCTCATGACTTTGCTCCTCTGAAGTATAATAAAACTGGTCCGTGCCTATTTCTCCTTCAGATGTCATACGAAGCGAATTTGATTAATAATTGCTGTCTTTCATCATGCAACTGCGTTCAGGGCTTATTAGATGAGGCTCTATATAAAGGGCATAAGAAAAGAAAACGGTGAAAAAGATTTGGCTTAGTCACTTTCTACCAAACCACTTCTTGGTATGAGTAAAATGCACTGGTCAATATTTCTCATAGGTTTTGCTCGCCATCCTTCGAAATTGTACACTCAGAACTTGCCAACCTTTTGACTTTAATATTTCGGAAGAGTTTATCTGTTCATCCTATCCTTCTTTCACCCATGCTTCCAAAAGCTTCCCTTTGAGCTCTTTTTCTTGAGCCGAACCTTTCCTTTGGATTCATTCTGTTACCGTGCAGACGAAGAGTCCACTCTCAATTTCTCCTTGATCATGGCCGATAAATAAACAAACAGCCTGGTAGGAAGGTGTCTCCAGAACCAGAGCTGGTGAGGATTCTTGAAATATTCATAGGATTGAAATGAACGCGACGTCATTGACTAATATGCTTACGACAACGGCCATTCGTTAGACCCAGCTGTAAACAGCCTCATATTTGCTATTAGTCAGCCATTTTCAGCTTCGCTCGGTTGAAGCTCGATGCTATGAGGGTGAAAAAGCCACACGTATCGTGAACCATTGTGGAAACCGGGATAACGTAGTTTCCATGTAAAACACAGAAGCCTTCTTTCTTAGAGTAAAAGCGATTTTAATGGTTGGGAGTGCAAGGGAGGAGTGGAGTAGGATTGGCGTCACCAGCAGGAGTTGCATATGTTTGACTGAGTGGCTACTTCAGGAATTCACAAGAAAAATTAATTCACCTTTTCTGCGACAAGGAATGCCACCCTAGAAGGGAGTGCTAGACTTCTCCAAAGAGCGCTTATGATCTGCATGTTCTTCTCCAGATCTTTCGCACATTGGCGTTGAACGTCATCGAGCTTTCCCAAGCACAAAAAGGTCATGAGCTCGGATCCATGAAAAAGCTTCCTTTCCAAGCCATGGATGTCATTCAGAAATGCAATAACATCACGGTTGAATCACACTTGCTATCCCTCTGAATGGATCAACCATCAGTCGAATTTCTATAGATTTCTAGCGATTACAAGAGCCATTCTGATGAATACTGCTTGAGTCTCAACTGGGACTCCCGAAAGGCTTAGAACATTCGAAGTCGAAGTTGAAAAAGCCGTCCATTTTTTACACACTCATCTTATTCTCTTAAGAAAGGGTATACATTCAAATGCACACTTCATGATTGTGTGATTAGGGCTGCGAACTTTATCTAATATGGTCGGAGCGCTATTTGGTCCTCTAATGTGAAAGAAAGTGCTATGATACCTGATTCGAAAAAAAATGCTGGTTTACAAACAGCTCTCACTCGTCTGCTGCCTTTTAGCGTTCAGAATTAAGCGCACAGCGCCATGTAAGAGCTAAGGTTAGGGTGGCATCGCTCTTTGGTGGATCGACACGGAGCAATCCATTTGGAGGCGTTTGGCTAGCCATGTCATGGTTCATCCTGTTCTGAGCTGTCTTTCACCACGGCGTCATCGAACATCAACAAGTATTTTTTCCCGAAATCTCCAACATTGAGTATTTCACGGAAAATCATTGAAGCATAATTTTTTTTCTAGTTCAGTTGATTACTTGCTCGTCTAATCAGCAACAACCAGCACTTCGACGTGTCAGTTACTCTGAAAACTGACTTACAGATGGCATTATTTTGTGTCCGCTGACAAAATGAGAACCAATTATTTGCAACGCTAGTTCAAAGATTTTGTAGCAAGAGACAAAAGGCACATCAAACTTTGGTACATCTCTAGGGAACACCCTAATCGACTGGACCGTAACATCCGCCGGACTTCGCCAGTTGCACAGTGGCTCAAGGAGGTCGTGACTGAACAGTCACTGCTTCTCGCATGGCAATGGAGTATATCAAGTACGACCTCTTCCTTGATATTTGCAAGCAACAGCCATACCTGCAGACCTGCCCACCACCATCAGTTTCTGGGTGTGTCATCTCTTCGATATCATTTCCAATATTGGAGATTCTATCACGCCAGTTGTTCAGGACCTGGTCCAATCCAAACGGATTCTAACCAGGGCATCTTAAGAGCATCTCCCAGTAATCGTCAGAACCTTGGCTTAGCTTCTTACAAATACAACTTACTTCCTCCGGGAAAACCAGTAAGACTAGGACGCTTATGAAAAAAAGGATCCCAATCTCACTGGTGTCTGTGGTGTACAAACCCTTCATACCAGTCGTCCTCAACAGTAATGGCAGAATATTCTGCGGGGAACAGCAATGCGAAGGAGCGAGCAGAGTTGCGTGGAGGCTTTACTGAGACCGATGATATTCCAGTCACAAGATTCAGTGTTTCGAGGATGACCCTCGATACTGGTGAAACAGAAGCGGTAGCCGAAACATTTGGCGATGTTTCTGCTCAACATGTAAGAATTCTTTGTAGGCCCTCGTGACAGTTTTTTTTACATTTGTGCAAGGAAATCATAGTCAACGGTAAGAGAGGAATCCAGAAAGTGATACCATCTCGCTCAAATTCTTCAGTGCGACTGTGGAAAATGTTATACATCATCTTCGTTTTGCAGAAGACATCGTTCTTATAACATCAAATGACAAGTAGGCTAAACAAATGCTGACTAAACTCGCCAGCACTCTTAAGAGGATTGGTTCGCAACTGGATTTTACAGTATTACTTTTATGAGAGACGGATTTTTCTGAAGCTGACTTGCATTCAGCTGTGCGAACATCTACGAATGCTGTGCCTAAGTGTACCAACATGATGGAGGTTCCAGTTCCGGAGCTGCGAAGAAAAAACGCGGAGTAGGGTGAACATTTGGAGACGTTAAGGAACTAGTGAGGTAGGCAAAGAACATCCGGTTCCACATCCACCTTCTTAAAACTGCGTTCCTGCGTAAAAAAGTAGTAAGAGCGGGTGAGGCTGAATTTTATGGGATATTCAAGCGAATTACCAGCCTACAGAAAGCCAAAAGGAAAAGCTATTACTATTCAAGAGCTCCAGATCACGTCCACCCTCTGGATGCAGCGGATACAATTCTTGCCCGTCTACCAAACCCTATCTAGGCCGCTCCTAGTCTGAAGGGTTCACTATGACGTGATTTGGGGCCATAGATTCATCATTGGAAACATCACGGATACCATTCTTTATCGTGAACTGTATCTCAAAATCTTGGACTCTTCGCAGGTAGGGTGGGCATGCAGTTAGCGTCAATCAACTCGCTGTGATAGTGCCGATGCACGGAGTTCTGAATTTGAACGGAAGAATCATGTACCTAGAATTAAGAAGAGTTCAATGGACTAACTTATTAATAACAGGAACGAATGAAGAAGTTACGGGCGTCCCCTATGACAAACTGGTGGTGAACGGAGTCAAGGGTGATAGGTGACAAGTGGTTTAAGGTTGCGTTCTTCGTAGCATCTCTAGAGTGGGATTTGATTCAGTCAGTCACTTCTTGATAGCACTAATGAGACCTTCATAAGTTGAGAAACCATGTTCGACGCTCTGAGAGCACGTAGCAGAAGGGAACCGGTGCTTCTCACATCCTTGAGAGGTCATCTGAGCGGCGCTTATGCAACTCCCAGCTGCTCGACCCTATGAAATTCTTCTCTGCGATGAATAAGTTGATCTTGGTATTGAGAACCCATCTACTGCGATTACTTTCCCTTCTCATAAAACATGCTTCTTGTTGTGTCGGACATTTATTTCTTTGTATTCCTGAGCTTCTCCGTGATTGAAACGTTCAGCCTACACAGGGTTGCTAGAGCTGTAATGTTGACAGTATGTAAAGACGATGCCTACAAATGTGCCTGTCTGGCAGTGGAATGTCCACGAGTGTTTAATTATTCGGTTGCACTGAAAGAAGAATGCTGGATGAAGGAATGCTTCATTAGTAAACGGGCGCTCGACCAGTCAACTCTCTTGCAGGTATGCTTAGCAGCAGAAGAAATAAAATTTTTCAATCTGCGTTTATTTCAAGGTCACTGCCGGCTATATTGTCATCCTCCTCATTGGCTTACTTGGCAATATACTAGCAATATCCGTTTTACGCAAGCATCCGCTTATGAAGACGCACAGCAGGTATGACTGATCAATTATATCATGATTTGAGTTTTATTTCGGATTAAAAATACAACGACGTTAGGAATTGCAATGTTCTATCAGCCTGCTCACTTCAAGAAGTTCAACCGCGATTGAAAGGGAAGGGGTGGTCATCTACTTGTTAACCATAGTCCAGCTATCGTTTCTAACTCTCTTTTAACAAGTACGATAGTCTTTGGTAGCGAGTTATAGCATTTTCAGTATCTACATAATGAATCTTGCCATGGCCGATCTCATCACCCTGTGTGTTGGTTTACCGTTTGAACTGATCATGAACTGGAGTCAATATCCCTGGCCTTTTCCGGACCTATTTTGTAATCTCAAGGCGCTCATCGCTGAAACTACAAAGTATGATATGTTCTTCATTATCTGCAGGGATCAATTCTTTTTTTTTTTTTTTGAAACTTACGCTTTCAGCTACGTTTCTATCATTACGATTTTATTGTTCTCCATCGAACGTTACATTGCTGTCTGTCACCCATTCGTCTTCGTGAAAATCAAACCGCTGCGGCAGAATGTATGTTTAATAGATCTTCAAAGGCATCATAGAATCGACAAAATGAATGATCCACGATCTAGTCAATCGATAATCGACTACTTTTCAAATTAGGTACACAAAGTGTTGTGCGCTGCGTGGCTTGTGTCAGCGTTATGTGCGTCACCTTTCGGGTTCTATCATAGAGCTGACTATATTTTGAAGAGCTGGCCCGGAACTGAAAATAATATACCGGTGAGTTTTCTATACCTGAGATAGCCGGTACTCGGAAATTCACACAGCAGTGCTAAACTACCCGTTCATTTAAGGTTTTATCATCGAAGATGTGTATGGTCGCTGTGCTGTTCGACCGCAGTTCGAAGCTAATGTACAAAGTGAGAAGTCCATTGGTTTTCAGTAAATTGCTTTAATCGAAGCTCAAGTATTTTATTTCAGTTTATTTTCCATTTATCAGCGCTCCTGTTCTTTGTTGTTCCACTTTCAATAATTTTTGTATTGCATATACTAATCGCTTTTCACGTAAGTAAAATTCATTTAGATTCAGTTGAACAACTTCGAAATAATTTTGATTCGTGGAAGCAAATTTTAGGTCCGATCATCTCGCAAAGGTGTCAATCGGTCCGATCACGTTGATGAAGGGAATTTTCGGCTGACTTTTATTCTAGGTTACTTGTTTTATTCTGTTCAATAGAAAAGTTATTGGTTCATTATGGCGTCATACTGAATGGGATCTTTTCAGTTAGTATCGTCATTGCATTGTTCATCTGCCATGTGCCTTTTCAAATCCAACGCCTGTCGTTTTTTTATTTTGAAAATGAGCAAGTCGTTTCAACACTAAATCAGTACCTCTTCTTCATATCAGGTATGTCACCTTCCTTCACACCAAATGACTTGCCTTTAAACAAATACTTACACTTCAAAATAACTTTGCAACTATTGTAAAAAGACATCATAGGAGAAATTCAAATTTCCTGCAGCCTGGCTAATATACATCTATACAGAAAAAGTCGATTTTGCAGGGTTCCTATTTTATCTGGCGCCAATTGTGAATCCTATTTTGTACAATGTCGTCTCAGCACGGTTTCGTAAAGCCTCGAAGGATATTCTTCTGTCAATTTTCTATTCTTCAAAGCGACAAGGAGAATCCATTATGATGAGACGACGATCTTCGGTCAACTACATCATGTACGTGACCTATCGTTATACACGATTTTGCCACCATTTTTACCGTTTCAGAGCCGGTCGTGGCGACATACATCACTGTAACGATGAACCTCTCTGCGGCCCACTTCTGTAGTTCTCAGAGTTCTCAGAATTTCATGAATGAGATCGCTGTTTTTGATCGACAGATAATCTTCCAGTACAGGTACGACATTTGTTGGACCTAATTTAACTGCCCGCCTAAATCAACATGATCGAAAGCGAATCTTCATTGATGGAGAAAAGAAAACACTCATTCTTCGGATCCAATTCTTCCTCATAGTAGAAAAATTACCAAAAGTGGTTTCAGAAAAGTAGTTTCAGGGTTTCACTTTTAACTGCCACCCACTTACTCTTACCACTTGTTCAAATTCGAAGCTTCTAGAGAATGAATATTTGATCTTTTGTTGCAGGTTACGGAGAATATCTGCTTCTGCTACGCTTCTGATAGCAACTTTTAAGAATGACTCCCATGCAATGCTTTCTGTCTGAGCACTCTGATCACTCTTGTCCAAATTTTGTGATGATTTCGATCACACATATTATGGGTTAGCAATGTTTATGCCAATGAAAATTTGGTGAAATTTCCTTTTAGTGACATTCAAAGGCAATTCCAACTCATTTTGCTGGAGATACTAGTGGTTTGGATGGATTTGCTCTTAAGTAACTGAAAGCCTGTTGCACTATTCACTGACCGGGCATCTGGCGTGAAGCTGGCCCATGCATTGACATGGAGGAAAGCCGTAGGCAATACATCCGTCACCACTAAAACTCTCGAAGACTTACTTACTTACTCTGTTTCAATAGATTTTTGTTTTTCTTCATCCAGTTTGTCCTGCAGCAATGATGGTTTGTCAGTAGCAGGCGGGAAAAAAGTCGGAAGACAGTGAACTCGTTCAAAATGATCGTCCCATAGATAATCTAGTTCATGTAGAAGTCAGCGCTCATGATTGTGCTATTACGCTGCCTCTTTACCCTCAGAAAATATAATATTGGCTTTCGAATAGAGTGTTACTTTTCAAATAGTACTTTTTGCTATAGTATGGTCGCTCTTCGGTGTCAAAATTCAATTCTTTCTCCATTACTGCTCTCGTACAACAATGTCACTTTTTTGTTTAAAAAAGTAAGCTGATCTATTGAATCATTATCGACAGACTCCTCAATCAGGGTTTTTTGGAATGGTGTTTGTACGAGATGTACCTATAACATCAAAAATGGCAAAAATATGTTGACCCGACTTGATTAGTTAATGTAGTTAATCAGTGGCACTTCAAGTCAAAGGACACCAAAAACTCAAAAGCGCATCAAAAGGTCAAAGGAAGGAAGGAAAGAATTAAGGAATTTTCCATCAAAACGTTCCATACGTGGTCATGTACGAGTTGCTAAGAACTTTGGGCACCTTCTTAAGTTTTTGGTGCCCTCTGACTTGGAGGGCCTCTGATTAACCAATTCAATCAATCAATCGATCTACTTCAATTACGGATGCCAACCTCAACTTCTCTTGTTTTTACAGCTGGTCAACCCCCGAATGACTCCACCTGGCTTTCACCCAAAAAAGTACTTCGCCTTGAGATTATCACTGTAATACAAAAAAAAAATTGCCCAGAGAAATGGGTGAAAGGGGATGTTCTGTAAGTCCAAAGTTCGAAAATTGGTACATATCGACACATTGTTGACGCCACATAGTAAACATAACCCTCTCGATTTTTGATATGCCAGGCTCTCAAGATTTTTGCTCTTCGAACAGACTCGTCTTCTATCTATCAACGTGAAATGGTTTACCCTTCAACGTGTTGCGAGGGCACGTGATAGCAACGCTTTCTTATCACACAGCATAGACGTTTACACTGAAAAGTGGTTAAAAACAACACTGAGGACAGCATGATTATATAAAATTTCTGCAGATAATTCTGTCTACTTCTTTGACACATCGAAGATTTGCAGACCCGGGGTGTATCATTTAATACCAGGACAACTTTTTTGTTTGTTGTATTATAGCAACTAGGACAAAAATAGCTTCAATTAGCCCCTCTTCGACAATCAAAAAGGAAATAATGAAAGAAGGGAGTGAAGAAGATGAGTTATTAGGGAATTGACAATTTGAGACTAACGTGGCTCAAAAGGCAATAAAGCAGGCCTTCAAACTGTGTTGAAGAAAGCTAGACTGGGGCCTGGGCTGCCCACAAGTGAGCCATATGCACTTCGCACTGTTCTCGGTCTATTTTTCACGTCCTCCCTCTACTAATAACGTTGTAAGCTAAAAATAGATAACAAGTTTCTGCTCTTTCGATATGCCACACCTACCAATTTGCGTCGTTGCTGGCCTTCTTGGACTAGTTTTGTGCCCAAAACTCAAAATAGTCGAGGGGTCATCAATCTGAAAACCTACTTCAACTTCCACCAGAGATGTTTTGCGGTTTCGTGCGGCTTTCCGCTGATAACTATTATTACAATTCACCCTATTATCTTTTAAAACGCCGAAAGCTAAATCTTTGCATTTCAGCTGAGCACTAGCCACAAATGCTCTATCACAAAGAGAATGAAAAACTGGGTGGGATGGGATAAATCACCCAATCGAGGTATGGGCAACTACTTAGTTTATTCCTTAGGCATTCATAACTTGACTTGCAAATGCCTGACTGGATGTGGAGCTAATCCTGTGCAGAAAACTTTTGTGCACGCAGATAACGTCATTCTCATTCGGCAGCGCTTCCCATTACACTTGCTGTTGTGTTTTCGTCCACCTCGATATATGAATAACAGCAGCAGTAGAGGTAGCTCGACTGGTAAACAACGTTGTGATACCGTTACGTTTCTCATGAATAAAAAATGTCAATAAATTGGAATGAGTGTAGCCTGGATAAGGGGCCAGTTCACGGGTTATTCTTGCGATACTCCGCTGCTCGACCGTCAAAACTACCCTACGGCCTACTTGAAACTCTGCAGAAGCAACACTGAAACACTTCTTTTCTTGGAAATGGAGAAAATGACCTCACATTCTCCTTCCATTGCTTATCAACAAGCTATTCTAATGAAATGAAATCCTGTAGATTTGGCAGCAGAATTATGTACGAGACCTATACCGCAGGAATGGCATAATCAAAGTCATAGTAAAGGTTATTTACGCTCTGTACTGCTGAATAGTAGAACAGTAAATCAAAATGCACTCAAATGTTACCGATAGGATGTCCTCAATAGGACTGCGCTTTGGAAGAACCTTCATGTAAAAAGACAAGTAACTTGGTTTGAAAGCAACATGAAGGTGTTAGAACTGGGACTGGTTCAAGTCAGTCTCATTACAATATGGCAGTTGGTTTTCATTGCCATCCCTCCGAAAAAGAACAATAACCGGATCTTATCATTCTGCAAACGTTCTCCGTCACATAAGGGATCACTGAACACACTTGTGAAAAGACCATGATTACTCTGAAAATCGTAACCTCTACGGATGGACGTCCATCACCTGAACCTGCCTCATGCCCCAACACAACCGGATTCATTGTACCCCTCACTAATTAAAAATAACAATAGCTGCATTCATGGAATAAAGTTGTGAATGCAGTAATGCTACTTGGAATCACGTTTCTCGTTTGCCAACTTATCTTTGTATCCCAATTTATCAAGCAAGACATTAGGGTGTTAGCCAAAATCCTGGTTGACTGGATTTGCGCTCAGGTTAGCCTCTCATCCTGACTGGATGCCGAATCCATGGCTTAACTCCGAAGGTTCGCTTAACACCATTCCTTCAGTCGGCACTACAATATGGACATGGTTCGGATTAGGTCGATCCTTCAATCCTAGGAGGGCAGCCAGTAAGAGGCTCCGCACTAGCACCCTGTGATTCTCCGGGTTTGCTCAGAGGTGTGAACCGTCAATTATTCCCTGTGGTGCAAACTCCAAATATGTACCCTATTGACGCTTCCGCTCACACATAACATTCTAATTTTTTTAACTCTTTATTATTTTTAAAATTGAGTATTTATTTTGTATGTACATGCTAAATGCTGAATCAAACTGAATACCAGTCTTAACCAGTGCATTGATAAATTAAAAGAGTGAGCATACAAATAAATGACTCGGATATTAATTAGATACAGAAACAGCGAAATCTAACATGATAATTCCATCAAAGTATAAATATTTGTACATGAAAAGGTCGAGCAACTTCAACGGACACTACGACCTATAAACAGGAAAGTAAAAGTGTGCAGTGTGAATCTATGTTCGAAACACTACCATCAAAATTGCGTAAAAGTGAGCAAATCGGGACACCCCCCTAACACACGGTTATTATTTGAACAATATTATGTATTCAATAATAGCCGTGGTCTCCGATACCGTCTATCATAATCCCTGATACATCACGCACAAGGAGAGGTTGAGCAGTTGGAATTGACTCGGAAATGGTATATGCAACGCACACATGACCCATTGCTAAAACCCTTAAAGTCAGCCTTAGGGCTATCCTGGCCCCACTTTGACTTTTTTTGTGACAGCCATGTTTTTATGTACATAAATGAGATGATTTTTGTTAAAGACTTTTCAACGACTTCTTCCAGATTGAGGTTGAGGTTGGAACAACGAAAGTTGTTGTAAAAAGAAAAGGATGTCCCGATTCATCTATGTTTCGTTCGTTCTCACCCAAAAGGTTCTCTCTCAAAATTCTCTAAATAATCGTTTTTACTAACTGTTCCTGGTTCAAAAAGATGAACACAGAGGTATTTACAACTTTAATATAATAATTAGCATGTTGTGAGGTATTGAAGAGGGTTGAATGATCTGAAATGGTGTCCATCACATTTCAAGCGAAATTTCGAAGATTGCTCTCCGAGCTTAGTAGTTGTAGCGGCACATCCGCTCGAATGCTATTTGACGGTCTCGTTCCTCTTCGATGTGCAAACGAACGTTCTCAATCAGCGTCTGATCCAACTTTCTGGAATTTGAAACAGTTGTTTAGGTGAGAGAAGGCAACAACGGGCTATTTTCGTCTGTTTTTGACACGAACGATGTTTTCCCGGTCTCGTGGTCAGCAACCTTCTTCACTTCAGCACCTAACCTATGGCGCAACACCTGATCAGCGCAAGGGATGAGCGGTAGCAAGTCTGCTAGTGTACAGGAAAACATAAAATTTAAAGCGAAGATCAGTCAAAGGCCTAGTAATCTAGATGAACAATGCAGTTGGTCCCATTTTCAACTCAGCCTGTACCTTATTTCCCATAGAGCCTGGCACGTCATCATTCATCTGGTATCAAATGGAAAACAGAAAAAGCTAAAATTAACGAACTTGACATCAGATGTTTTTCGGGCCCAATCTAGTCCGAAAATACTGGAGGCTGAGTGGATATCTTCGCGGGAGTCCTTACGTTCTGCAGAAAGCATTTGGTTTTCGTTTGTTGCTATGCCCTCACTCCTGCAACGAAGAATATAAGAGAATTTCAGCAATAGGATTTGAATGGGTGAACGAGGCTTACTTCTCAGCAGCCATGAACGGATTAACCGACTTCCTCCATTGGTTCATTCGAGCAGCAGCCAATCGAGCATTTAACCAAGGCATTTTTTATTTCGACGTTGTAGAAGTTACTCTGAAAATCACACCTGATATGCAGCTTCTTCGCACACGAGGCAAAACTACTTAGTAATCATAAGGTTACCCACCGCTTGCAGGATAAAATCTGAAGGTAACGAACACGCTGTCGAAAACATGTTGCCATGCTGTCTATTTATACAACGCGAGGTGAACTTTCAATTGTGGGCGGTGCCAACATTCGTCAACAAGTTTTCCCTACGTTTGAGCAACAAATGCGGACTTTGGCCTTTAAGACTGATTGTGTTGCTTTATAGAGATACACGATAAACATGGAAGTTATAACCAAATTAGAGACCAAAGACCTGGGCACATTAGACATCCAAGATCACCTACAAATAACACCATTATTGAAAGGTAAAGCAGAAATAGAAGTGATGGGGGTAGGTCGAATGTACAACAATCACCTAAGAGAATGAGGTTCTGTTTCTTCACAAGTTGCATACTGTCACAGAAAGCAGGAGACTAGCCATGAACACATTTCAACACGTGATTCTACAGGTATTTACGTACCTGCCTATATATGTACAAGTAAACTAAGCCAAATTTAGATTCACCGTAAGAAATTCAACAGTCAACAGACCTCGAAGAATGAGCAAGAACCGGCTTAGACGGAGATTATTCCAACTATCGATACAGGATGAAAATTGCTCCATGTTTTCGTTACATGCCTACATTTGTTGTCTCTGAATAGACTAGTTGCGGGGCAATGGTTTATAGTTGCTCATGATGAGCTCTAATATTGAGTTGGTAAAATAGCAACAATATATTCCAACACAATCTCTTTCAATCCTGCGCAGACTGGAAACCTTAGAACGCACTTCATTTTCATATATTTCCGTGAAGTAGACAGCTCTAAAGAAGGACCCTAATGGCGTTCAAAACGAATATACTTGTAGCTTTTCAAACAATGCCATAATTTCCATAAAAGCTCCTGAAGTGAATCGACTACTCTATCCCATCTCCTTAAGCTGGTGGAAAATGAACTCACAACAAACCTCTGAGTGCAATCAAAACATTCGCGACCACAGCAACAGAATTCCTGTTGTGTATGTCATTTTTCACTTTTTTTCTACATTCATACCCTCGACCTTGCCACCACACAATATAGCCCGATGAGCAACTGACAACTGACGCTCTACGCAAAGCATTCCGCGCGATACCTCATCACATCCTTCTACTCATCCAATAGTTACCAACCCCCCCCCCCCCCCACCCCCCTATTTTCAATCCGGTTCGTATATGGTGGACTGCTTTTAATTCTTAGGCTTTGATGTTTTTAGTCTTCAAAAGAGTAAAGCTTTCCTGACAGCACGGAAACGAATTATGTGGCAATATTTCTAAACAAAAATTGGTCTTGGGACTCTTAATTTTCATTCGTTCGATGGACTGATGGAGTTGTGAATATGCATGAGCAACCTCAGGGAAGACCTGCAGTTGGCAGAGTCTTCTGAGGCAATGCGCTGATTCGGGAATTCTACAACACATTCAACCTGTATTGTAAAAGTATTTTGCGTAATGTTAGGTACAGATTGGGTCTGCTGCTCGAATGTTGTTAGGTAGAAACAATAGAACAACTCATTGCGGGCTGCAGTAAAACATTTGTAGGGAACCTTAACCTTGCCTACTTATACTGGAAGCATCACTTGTCATTACAAAATTTGAATTGCACAACGCGAAGCAGTTGCCAGCTTCTCCCCTTCCTCATACCCTTTCAGCTCCCCTTTTCACTGAATCCTTGCAATCAGTCCTTTATGGAAGAAACAAAATGACTTACCTGAAATTATAAAGAAATAAAAACCATTACAGCAACTATATACGCTTGGCGATCTTACTCCATCCCTCTTTTTCCTTCCATGACAGTATCATTTTTGATCATCGTCTTCTCCCATAACTCTCACCTTGTGTTCGACGTTTTCAAACAAGAATGCTGTATCAGTGTTAATCTCCACCTTAAGCCCATTGCCCGGGTACAAATATTATATATCTTCGATTCCTTTGATTGTTGATTAACCTTCTTTACTTGCCGTCTTCAGCATGTGAATTCATATGTTATGTAGTATAGGCCATGAAATAAAAAGTAATACCGTGCAAAATTTCCCAAGCCAGGGATATTTCAATGAAAAAATGGTTGAAGTTGCGTCATTGAAAAAGCAGAACGTGGTGTCTGGTGGTAACGAGTGTTCCGGCCTATTACTGAGCCCTTCTGATGCTACACTCTAATAATTTCATTTTAGAATTGCACCATGTGAAGACCTTTTTTGAGCAGAAAATCTCGTAGTATTCCTCCCTACTCCCTTCTTTCCCTCACGGACTTTCTCACGTTTTCGAGCCATTGGCTGGCTGAAAATCCCTTCAGTTGCCCTCAGTGCTCACTCATTCCTAATCGCTGTAATTTCTATCGCCTGTTGCATCGATAGGGCGATATTACATTCGTTGACGCTGACGAAAAACGGCATTTTTTGAGAGTTGGAAAGAACAAAATATTTGTTACGTGTCGTGTAAGCACACAGGTTTTCGGTGTTTAAGTTTTATGTAACATTTAATTCTATTTTGCGGCACAGAATTTTGCTAGGCATACTCCTATTTCAGCTCAGCGAGTACAACCGTGTAGTTCCCAACTCATGGCGAAAAAAACCCAATGCATGACAACTTCAAACACTTGGCGATGTTTGCAAGCAGGTTGTCAACGATGCCAAGATGACGTTCCAGTATTGCCCCATTTCTGAAATGGGCTGACACCCTATCAGACCATCATGCCTCTCTGACCACAGCAAAGCGTAGGCAAGTAATGCTGAGCTTGCTAGCTCAACCTGAGGGGAGCAATTTCAAGCGGCATTCCATTCGTACTTGAAAAAATCCTAAACTGACCATTCACCTGGTCCAAAACTTCTCCGAACAAAAAGGCAAAAGAAAGTCTATGTCACTCTATTTTTTGAGCTAAGCTGCTGTCATCTTAACTATATTGTTGCAGAAATTTAGATTTGCGATAAAAAGTCTTGTCTTGATAAAGTCTTGAGGCTTTAATCAATCCCATCAGAGGGATGCGCCCACGCATTCGACTTCCATATAGAACCATACAATGAATTGCGGTGACCAGCCCATGTTTCAGTCAGTCAGACAAGTCTGATACCAGTTAACCGACCCCGGAGGGTTTGAAGGCTTGGCTGGCCTAGGCGGATATCGATCAGAGATTCGAACCCAGGACCATGCGTGTGTGAAGTACGGCCTTGTCACTACATCACCTCCACCCTCTTGAATAACTGTGCGATAAGTTTCCTAAACGAGAAAAACTCTTCACCTCACTCCAAGAAATAGCAGAGACAAGTGATTCGAAGTGATTCAGAAGAAGTGGAGGTTAAGCTTCGACTGCTTATGCCTTGCCAACAAATGGGTGATACTTTTCATCCGTAGAAGTGGGCAGGCACTCAAACTCTTATATCAACTCTGAAATCACTTTAACAATTACCATTTATGAGTGGACTTGCATGAAGTGGACTGGCCGTCTGACCGTGTACGTTTTTCTGTAATAGTACTATTCTTTTCCTTATGCCTTTTGACTGGATGATCCATTTCGCACTTCTGTAGCCCTAGTTTTTCTAGAGGGTTCCCCAAAACTGACATTTTTCAATAGCGTGAAAAAGTGGAGAGTCTAAATTTTCATAGCGGACACAGCGAAGCTCTGTAGTTTTCGAAGGTGAAGGAGCAGATTATTCAATTTCTCTCAAGTTAGTACTATCCTTAAGGGCTCATGCAGCTTCAATAAGGCCCCTTTTGATAACAATGTTCAATGTTTCTGTGAGTTTTTTGCAACAATTGCTTCGCCACTATCGCCTCCACCGCTGTCGTGGCGCCTCTTGGCGCCAACTGTCACCATGCAACTGCGATACATCACAATCGCGTCGTCAAATCTTCGGAATCCGTCGTTTTAGCTATCTCTGCTGGACCGAGCAGATAAACGCATGCAGCTAACAGCGATAAAAGCACGAGCCAGTATGTGCAGTCCACCTAAGATCGTTTTTTTTTCTCTTACACTGTGTTCTGTGAGTTATGGATATGAGCAACATCTCCCCATCAACTTAGACATATCTTCATTAAACAGCACATAATTATCCAGTACTCGGCATTAAAAAGTCATTCATTCTTTTTGATTTGGTTACTATCCAATAAATGGCCCCAGTTCGAGTCTTAGACGGAGTTCGGCCTCAGCCACACCTCATTTCATATTTGCAGACAGAAATCTGTTCTCGTTGTTCAGTTCTCACTTTAAATACTCCCGCATTATGTAAACCAACTAACCAGATGGTAAAGAGCATTACTGACGATGGAACTTGAAGCTTCTGTGAGAGATTGAATTCATTTATTCATTTACTGTAAATGCTAAAAATAGATATGTACATAAGTCAAACGCTTCAGCCCCTTCAGGGCTGTAGCATCTCACTCAGTTTGACTTATTTTGTATTCCGTACTCTGTTGGTTCTCGTCTACGTTCTCCAAAGCATTTTCAACTTGGAGGTGTGCGAGCTTTGCATTCTCCAAACTCACGACATGTTGGCGTTGTCATTTCCTCATTGAAGCTCAATCACCCGTTACATTATTTGTCTATTTCTCGTCTTTTGGGTTAAACAATGCGGTGCAACTGCCATGATTACCTTTCAATCTCTTTTTGCTTTTTATGGGAGCGGACAGCCTGATTAGCCTGTGTACTGGCTCTCGCTAGATGTAGGGATCGAGAACAAAGTAAGGCCAGGCGCTACCACAAGTCAAACCCGCTACCCGTTCCACAAAAGGGCTTCTTAGTTCTTCAGTGAGATCGATTTGAAGGCAGGGTCAATAAAGGATCTTATAAATAGTAACTTTGGTCCCAATGCGTACAGGTCATATCGGTCTATCAGTGGGCACACCAAAGAAATGAGATAATTTCATTTCGCGAGGTGTTCACTACTAGTAAACTGCATTTGGTGCCAAGCAGCAACAGCGAACGGCTCCTGCTGCGAAACTAAAGCCTGCTTCTTTTGCATGCTGGTGAGTTGTAAGTACTCCTCAGTACCGTAGACGCTTTCTTTTCTGATTTCGTGAAACAAATTGTTTCTTTTACATGCATGTTCAGAGCTCTTCGCTTCTGTTTTCCTTCTACGCCATAACTTTCCAAAATCTCTTCCAGCAGCATTCTACCACCCTTTTTTTCAGCTCCGAGACCTGTTGACTCAAAATTCCTGCTCGTGACTGTCTTTATTTTTTGGATTCTCTCCTCGATCGGGCGAATCATTGCTGGAGACGAACCATGTCAGCCCCAATAGCACGAAGATGTGCCAATCTGTTCGCCGGCCTACGGACTAGAGCTAAAGGTAAAGTACTCACGACGCTTCCATTTTCCTACAGGTTCAAATAGGTTCACTTACTTCTATATGAATGCATTTTCACTGCTGACACAAATCATGCGGCTTTTCAAGCATAATTTTTCCTTTACGGATGTTTTGATTTGAATATGAGCCGTAATAGCTATTTATTCTTTTGCGAAACCTACTGTCCTCGCTAACTCCTATGAGAGGAGGCTTTGCTGTAGCAAATAGTCTCAACTTGTGCAATGTAGCACTCTTAACAGTATTCATAACACCTTTGCATCCGCGCGCTCGTACGGCTAACAGTTGGTCTTCAAGCCCTTAATGGCCAAAATAAGTGCTACGCCCCTCCGTTACTTTCTAGCGCTTATATTTACTTACTCTTTTTAGCGTTGCTCCCACTACTGGGACTCATCTTCTACACATTATTGGGAGCAATTCTCTTCAGCGAATTGGAAGGTCCAAACGAGCAGTACGAAATGGAGCAGCTACAAAAGCAAAGGCAGGAGCTTTTCGAGGTTCGTCTTTCTCGAGATTAGCCTGGAAAACTCTCAAACAGTGCTGAATAAGTTTCTATAAATTATAGTAGAAGCTTTAGAATAAGAGCCTCTTAACACATCTTCCTCATCGAACGGGCTTTCATTGGTACTCAATCGGCAGTTTGCTTGCCATTGGCGATGCCGCATAAACCCAGATCCTTTAAGATAAAAGATGAAATTTATATAAAAATTATATGCTGCAAGGAAATGCAATTCCCGCAACTCACATCCTTTCCGGGTGCTTTTTGGATACCTTTCAAGTACGCTATTTGGGTGGTATGTTGTCATACATACCACTCAAGATAGAACAAAAAGTGTACGAGCCATACATTCGTTCCAAACTCGTACTAGTCGTGACTACATTTTGCTTAAATTCAGAATACAGTATATCGACTGAACAACGTGCGAGCAATGCAACCGATGGCAGCATTGAACCATACGCGGAAGAGTCTTCTGAAATTTCAAGAGAAGCTCGGTATAGAGCCAGTGAGTGCTTCACTCCTATTCCTTTTACTAATGTGAAGAGAGTAACATTTAAGGTTAACTTCGAAGAAACGCGATGGAATTTTTGGGGAGCGGTTTTTTACTGCATGACCGTTTACACCACAATTGGTAAGTCGTTTGAAAGCTCGTTATTCTGTCATTTCTAGCATCCCGCTAAAGTTTAGATTTTGATGTATAAGTTTTGTAATACCAAATTCAGGTTATGGTAACATCGTGCCAGCGACGGTGCCAGGCCGTGTGCTAACCATCCTCTATGCATTCATCGGAATCCCCTTTGCTGTTCTCACCCTCTTCGCGCTGGGAGCGGTATTTGCGAGGATTTGTAAGATGCTTTGGAAACTCGTATTGAAGTCAACAACGGTTGTTCATAAGGATTTGGGAAGAAAGGCGAGTTCAAACTAAATTCTAAGGATACAGATTTCTCGAGAAGTTTCTTTGAACTTTTCCCTGCACAGCCTATAAATCCGAGCTGTGGCGTAGAGTTAAGTATCCCATATTGATTTATCAGTTATCAGACAATTCTGTTTCCTACTTATACATGAATATTTTAGGTGAACGCAGCTGTAGGATTCGATGAGGGTGGTCAGGTTTGTTAATTCACATTTGCAACTAATTTAGTTACTCCAATTTATAAATTCCCTTCTTTGTAATGGGATACTTTTCAAACTCTGCAGATGTCACACTCTTCCTCTTCATTAGAAGATGAGGATCTTCTCTCATTCCCTATTTCGTTTCTTGTGCTATTGACAATTCTGTGGGTGTTCTTCTGCGCCTGGATATTTACACTTTTGGAGGATTGGAGTTATGGTAAGATGTCAACGCGCTTTAAAATGCATAACGTTCCCCTCCCACAGACTTTCTGAATTTTAGGTACAGCACTGTACTTCACGCTAATTTCGTTCACAACTATTGGTTTTGGAGACGTCCTGCCGTCGGAATATGATTACATTGTCATTGTTGGCTTTCTATTGCTCGTCGGCCTCTCACTAGTCTCCACTGTGCTGACGCTCATTCAGCAACAAATTGAGGCTCTTGCTTCGGTACGATATTCTTCGGTTAACTGCTTCATCAAGGGAATCAGAGGATTGGCAGCTGAAGAGTAATTGGCAGGATTTGAACCATTTCGATTATTCAGCTTGCTTAGGAGTCTTTGCAGCTGTACCCTGATAAGTGGTGGGCATCAAGTGGGATGACAGAATATCAACATAAGATGTTACATATGAATTACGGAAATTCTCTTATTTAATAACTTAGCTTATTGACTTATTACGCTTGAAGTAGTTAGGGTTCCAATAAAATGTTCTGGTCAAAGATCTCTGATGAGAGATTCTATCTAATAAAAAGCTTTTCTAGCACTAGATTCTGGCACTATAAATAAATAATATAAATTTTCTAAAGAGCAACCTATTTGAGGGTATGCAAGCAAACATTGACCGTGAATATATGAACGCTCTTGCTGAGGCTGCCGACGAAGGGGCAATCTCCGACGCGGACTTCAAGCGGATGCATTCCGGTAACAATACTGTGGATGTGGATATTTCGGAAACCAAAGGTTTCTTATCGGTATCCCATATATTTGCTTTACAAAACAGGCACCTTTCTTTTATTTTTCGTGTTTCTGTTGTTGGGATTAGCACCGTGACGCTCCTTATTTGATTTCCGGAAACTTCGAAGAATGAGCTCCTAATAACCACCTAGATTGCACCCCGATATTTTCAGTAAATGACGAACCACGATTTGGCCGCATTTTAGGATGTCCTGTTGTTCCTTTTTCAAACCTTCAGTACCGCAATCCCTTGTAAAGCTCGCTTGACTGGACCTACTCCTCTTGTTTTATAAGTATAGAAATGAGTAAGTGTTATTTGGCCAACGTATAATACTGCGATACCTTTGCTGATAATGACCTTTGCTAAGTGTTTAGTGAATGGATAGTTTGCTTGAGCAAAGCTTCTTATGGTGATCTTTCTGCCAAGTTTCTTCCTATCGAACACAGTGCACAAGTCCCCAACATCAATCTCATGGGCTGCTTTCATAGTCCGCTATTTGGCCCGCGAGCGCGCGAGCGAGTGATTGGTGTGGCGCTTGCCCCTTGTTTACAACTGAATCTTGGCCGATACCGCCGGACGATTAGTCCCCCGGCTGGCTCGCACGCTCACTCGCGAACTATGAAAGCAGCCATGTTGTTTACTCGAGAGACCAAAGAGAAGGGGAGGTGGGGTCAGCTAAGTCCTAGCAGCGGTAACACGTGCCTAGTTCGCAGATCCCCTACCAGCGTACTTACCTTGTGTTCGTGTTGAGTTAAACGAAGTCTAGGTATTAATGCCACACTTGATCACTGTGATTACTATTCCGATGTTTACCAACTAAGACTAGGCGGCTAAAGATCTGTACATATTCTGTTAATTACGTATGGGACAGGGAAAGTGATTTATGGCCTCAAAGTGAATCTTTCAGAACTTGATCCACGCTCTATGGACGCCGTTATATCTCGAATGCCTCTTAAGGAACGTCTTCTGTACCGAGTTATGCCGGCATCGGCTAAGAAAAGGCTCAATGAAGCTTCTGAGCAGAAGCTGCACAGGAAAAACAAAGCAACACAAACAGATATGTTCCTCCTTGAAGTGCGTCATTCAGGAATCTAATCGAAGTTTCTAGAAGTCAGCAGCATTATTCTAAAGTAATTCACGTAACACAGTCCCTCATTCGCCTCCTGTTCTCAATACATATGCGTATTACAAGGGGCAGTATAAGTAGATTGCCGATGACGACTACGTCTTTTTCCAGAATCAACTCTCTAATTCTTTGAGCAAGAATTAATTTTGATAGCACTGGAAGAAATGGTTGCTTTTTTCATACCTTGTCCTCAAGTGAAAGAACTCACAACCAGTCAAAATTCGTTCAACCATGCTCTCAGTGCCTCTTCTCCTATTCAGGCTCTCATTCACGAAGAAATTCTGAAGATGGAACTGAATAACGAACTCCCAACACGTCAAGTATCAGTTTCGCCAAGTCGTGTCGTTGGTACCGGTGTCCGTGTCACTCATGTTCATCCCAGAACAGTAGAAGACAACACTCCACAACCGACCATAAAAACGACGGCCATCCGAGAAGATGAGGTCTAGCCAAAGTACGGGAGAAGGCTTGGCTGTTTTCTGTCAATCATGAGATTTCCGGTTTGTCACTGCATCAGCAAAAGAGTATCGTCTGTTCATAACCACAGCTCATATTTTCAATTTATTCTTTTTGTGACATCATTCATTGCACGGTATCTTTCTTGTCTTCCACCCATTGTTAAGAAAATTGACATTATTATTCAAAGTTACAATGGGCTTTCTTACTCCTTAAGGTTTCAGAGACGCAAAACATAGTGAAAGATTATATTTGAATTTGAATATGTGACCTCCTATGAGTTATCATGAGGCTTTGCTACTATTTTCCGCTCTGTACTGTTAATTACTATTGCTTATTTTCGCTCATCTTATACGCTTTGCCCAAAAATGACTTAAGCACTGACACCGTCGTCTATGAAATATCGCGCCGCGCTATAGATATGTACCTCGAGGCTCATTCCGTGACCAGCCCACCGGCATGTCGAAGTATTGAAAGGGGGAGTAGTTTTTCAAGTTGGGAATAAGATCCATAATGAGAGAAAGGGAGCCGGAAAGGGAGTGTCCCAGAACAATATGATAGATTTCATCTTCAATGCATGCGATGCTACATAGAAGATCTTTTTCGGAAGATGAATAGGTGAAGAGAGGGAGTACATCGGTACTCCCTTTCCTCGCTTATCATCTTCCAAGAAAGATAAATAGCAAAAATCCATTGATGACCAGGGAACAGTGGAGGGTGGGAGCTGTATAGTGGAGAGGAGGGGTGGGAGTATACTTACAACAATTCCACTAAGAAAAAATCTCGAAGTCAATTAGACTACTGTCCCATCAACGTAGTTATCCTTACCCCAGCCTCCACCCCCTCCCTCTCCAAATAATCGGAAGCAATTCCTTCTATCGCGGGTTCCGCGACTCAAGCTTGACTAAAAAATATAATAGGTTTCTTGCTATCCTATTTTTCCTCCATATTCCCGTTACAATGACTGCTTCGTCGATTTCCTAAAGCTTTGTTTTTCCGATTTTATAAGATTCGCATTTCTCGCTGTTATTCCAATCATCTTTTGAAGCTGTTGCTCTGAAAAATGAAATGATGTGCACTGTAATCCATTCCTCTTATTGCTGCTACAGTGGAGATAATTGTATACTACTTAGCCACCCGTTGTCTGTCATATACCGATGGATGAAGTTTTCATTTCTCGTTCATTATTTTCAGAGACTTATGGGAATTTGCTTGTTGAGTTACACGCTGAAGACATAAAAGCAAAATTCGCAGTATGATTCTTCACGTTTTGAGTAATTACTGTAGACACGTGTGCTAGTGTCCTGCTCGGACAGTCTGGCACATCCACGGAATCTCCACGCCGGTTGTATGAGCGCTCTGAACAATGGATTATGAAGTTCTAAGGCGATTGGCAACGAATGGATCTTCTGGGCCTTAATACGCCCCTTATAAAAGACCCTTTTCTGAACGCCACACATCTCTTCCTATCCGTTATGCGTATGATAAATATGCTCGTGCAAATCATCGCTCACAGTGCTTTATAAGACTAAAATAATTTGCTAAACAACAGTCTAACGCTTCGACGCTATCTTCTTCCTCAGAGGAAAGGCTTCTATTGCTAAAGCAGATGTAAAATTTACTATTGCCAGTCGCCTGTGGCGACAGCGGATTTTTCTATCCGCTTGAGCGGTGGAACCTTGGCCTCCGAAGAAGACGATTGCGTCGAAACGTTAGGCCGCTGATTTAATAAATTGTTTCATCTAACAATCTCGCACGGACATGAAAGTAGTGAGAGACTAAAATGATTGTTAGAAAAAACTGCAGAAATTTTCACTACAGTTTCCCTTCAACAGCCTCCCCTCACCAGTAGTTTCACCACTGATCACGACTTCTGTAGCAATGACTTCTAGATCGCAGTCGAGCCGAGCCCACAGCAATGACGACGTGTCTAGAATCCGAAGTGACATGATGTGCACGATCCGACGTGTCGTCAAGCACAAAGAACGTGGAAACTTCGATGCTCATGGTTTTAGAGTTTCATATTAGCGACTAGAGTTCAAAAAACAGGACAAAAACAGGAAAAAAAGAAAAAACAAAATATGGTCAATTGATAAGTGTGTACCTTTGCGACGTTTCTTAGGCCTCGCTGAGGGAGTGGAATGGATAAAATTATTGAAAATTTTTCATACACATCTACTGGAGAAGACCATTACAGATGAATAATAAACTGCATTTCCATGCAATTTCATCCCTTAAGAATAATGAAACAGCTTTCCAAGGGAACTAGGTTCGTTACTCTACTATCAACCAGATCAAAGTTCGCTATGGCTACTGGTGGAAGTCGAATGGATTGAAATACAGTAGGGGATAAGTCAGGGCTGCTAACATTATTTTCATGAGCGTTCCCAAAAATATGCTAAAGTTTGAGCTCTCATAAACTTGTTTTCGCTTTCCTTATTCCACCATCATCTGTGAACCCGCTCTAGGACAAATGAGCTTTGTGACAGATATGTGTTATGCGTATTATGATGAAAAATATGCAGTCATGACCGTTGTACAATTAAACATAAGGAAACAATACAAATATGAGAACGATATGAACAATACAAACGATATACGAGTTCAGTATTAGCCTAATAGCTAATAGTAATAGTAATAGTAAGAGTTCAGTAATATAGAGATATTTATTACCCTAGCTATTAATGTTGCGGGGTGTCTCGAATATAGAACCTGTTCCCACAAAACGAACAATGGCTTTTTTGCATTGAGCCACAAAGGCCCTACCCTTGAGACCAAGCATTCTTACTTGAACTCAACTCGTCCATCTATAACGTGAACGAATAGACTATAAAGCGCATGAAATCATCTGCAATGAACTGCTTAACCGACGCATTCGCTTTTTCTGCTTGTAAGAGAAAGTTCCTCTTCACGTCGGGCGCCATTGTCCGGGCGTGTGTATGCGTATGGGCAGTAAGATGAGTAATCAGGCGAAAGAATGGTCGATAGGCATTATTTCCATGTATCGAGTGAAGATAAGATCACGCCTGTTGATTTAATCCAGCATTAAGCCATACAAATATACCCAATTTAATGAATTTCATCGTGAAAAGGCAAAAAAATAGAGCCTGAATGTCTTCTACTGCCTGTTCTGGACCGCTGTAATTTTGTCAACTGCAATGGATGGCATCGAAGAGCTGATGAGAGGGTTTTTGTATTGCAGCTTGAGGCTGGATTTACCGAACGGATTTTTTTCAGTTTTACTTCGAATTTTGGTTCCAGAGTACGCTTTAAAGAACGAGATGTTTCCATCATTCATCACTAATTATTCTTTGCCACGAATGCTTCTATTAACAAAAAAAGTAGTCTTTCTTCATATTAGAACGTACTTTTTGTAATGTGAGATGGGATGGTTGTTTTGCGGGTTGAATATAAAACTGCAGACAGCTCCAACGATAAAACGGGTTGCCCCCCCCCCCCCCCTCCCGTCCTCGTTATTTTCTGCCAACACCCTGCTGTTGTCTTCGTCATCAACCATCACCAATCTAGGCTTGCAATGACTAACAATCTCAGCAAAATTACTATGACTATTATGTACTAGTGCTTCGGTAAAACTGTAGCTTCTTTTTACTTGTTTTTCAGCTTATCGCCTGGTTGCCCTATAGCAATCGCCCCTCTCGGATGAGACGACAAAGGGCAATGAATGAGGTTGCGCGTTACTACGTACATGTGAACTTGTATATAATCGTTCGTTCAAATTCGTTCAGACGTCGTTGCACTTTCGTTGTGCCTATACACTGCCGAGCTGGCGACCCGCAGTACCCCACGAAGACGAGTAACAATGGTGGTTCTCCTCCGCGTTTTACTTTCATTCATGCTGTTTCTAAAACATTCGCATACGAGACGGAAAAAACATCGACACGTCAGCCATCATCAGCACGAACATATCGATTACTCGTTGAATATCGTTCCGTTCTGGAAATGTTGCCACGCACTTTTCGTCTCACATCTCATGACGTACAAGTATGCCCAGACGACACGTCACTGAGAACGCCTCCTTATGAACCCATCGTTCTCTAAAGTTCGTCAATTACTTTGGATACCATCTCGTTGTCATGTTGTATCTCGGGATTTTCACTTCGTTTTTCCTCATTCATTCCCCTACATTCACTGGAGTCTAGCCTTTGCTTACTTCATTTCCTCCTGTGCATAACTGCCATGGTTCTACTGCTCTAGTTACGAAAAATGAACTTTCCGTTGGCGTAAAATTCGCTGCTACCTGGAACTATGTTGTTTACTGTTTACGCGTTGTCTCGGAATTAGTCCTGGGGTGTTCGTTATGAGGTAGCGCCTCCTTTTTTTCTCGCCGATGTCAACTCAATCGGAAACAACAGCCTTTTCCGGATGAGCTCCTCTCCCAGGCTATTGATTGAATGCAATGGACTAGTGTTTTCTCTGTTCCCGGTCTACTGCCAGGCCGTTAGTGGGTTTGATTTTTTTTTCAACAAAAGCAAAGTTTGCGATTAACACGGTT